GCTCAAGGAGGTTACTTATCTTCGATCAGAATTAAAACAATTTTTGAGTTTCAAGAATGAAATAAAAATTATGATAAAAACTATGAATTACTAGGTTGATTTTTTAAACAATGTTTATAATGATTATTATCATTATAATAATCATTATAAACATTAGAAACAAAATAAATTCTAAATTTTATATTCCTGGTTGGAATAATTTTGTCAAAGACAAATTTGATATTCCTAGAAAAGCATTTACACTATAGACTTTTACTATATAGGGAGCTAAAACAAGGTGATCTTTTTGAAAAAATTAAGAGCATTTGTGTCACCTTTAAATTTGCTCTGTATTATTGTAAGAGGCATAATGAGCAAATAAAAGTTGATAAGTGTTAAAAAAAATTATAATATGGATAAAAAATCAAACATCAGGAAAAGCAGCTGATGGTTTATGTATGAAAGCTTTGAAGTCCTGATGGTGTACGAAAGTTTTTTTGGTGGAAATAGGTTACATACTTTAATTAGTATGTTTTTTAATCTCTGTTTAAGACAGATTAAGATGAAGTGTTAAGCATCCAAGTTCTGTGAATTCTCTATTATTCAATAAGTGAAATGCTAAGTGACCAACCTAACTGATTTGAACAATTACAGGACTGTTGCAGTATCCCTAGCTATATCGAATATATTTGAAAATATTTTATTACAAAAAATAAATACCAGACAATTTAGATGAATATCAGTTTGGCTTTAAACAGAAGCATTTTACTACTCTATGCACAAGTTATTTAATAAAATTTTTAACTTTTACACATTTTGTAACAACTTTTTGTTCTGCAAGCTATTAGATCAAGGAATATAGAAAAATATTGTGAGTTTGCTTTCATTCTGGTACAGTAGCCAAGAAATGTGTATCAAATGGCAGAAAGGTATATCTACTGCTTTTAGTATAGGAAACACCTTTTACATAAAAAATTTTTTTTTCAATCCTAGTTAAATTTAAATTATTCTAATCACATTGCTTATGCTTATATAATGCTTCCCTGTGAAATTTTAACACCAGAACATTGCACCTACCATATTGCTATAATAAATGCGCAAAAATGTTTTTTGGGTATGGAAAATATTGTAGTCTGACTTGGATGGTTTCAGAATTAAGGCTCCCAACTTTTCATACTTTTTTTTCTAATTTGTAGGATCAATTTAAAGAAGAACTCGAGTGTGGTTTAGTGTGTCAAAAGAAGTTTTACTTTTAATTCAGTTAACAAAATATAAAAACTATTTACGTGATAGCTTGTGATGAGTTGTGGATTTGTATCTATAGACTTTGTACCTATATATATATACATGATTCTCAAATTAAATACATTATTATTAATAATAATAATAACAAAATAATAATAATAATAATAATAATAATAATAATAATAATAATAATAATAATAATAATAATAATAATAATAATAATAATATATATATATATATATATATATATATATATACAAAATAGAAAGTGTATTATTATGGTATAATAATAATACAAATACTCTTGTGCGTTTAAGAGTGCTCAATACTATTAAATAATAGAGCAATATTTATTTATTTATATTAAATGAATAAAAACAACTTTTGATGAAACTCTGAGTTTCATGCCTTTCAGCAATCATCAGCCATTGTGTATTTCATCACTTAAAAACCGTTTAAAAATTACAAATTAAAATTACGGGGGAACGAGTTCTGACGTTACCAAACAAAACAAAACAAAACAAAAAGGTTTTTACTATTCTTATTTGATACCGGGGACTAAAACGTCAAAGGTTTTAGTCCCCGGTATCAAATAAGAATAGTAAAAATTTTTTTGAATGCCGGCACTTTGATATTATTTCATATCTTTTATTAAGTAAGTTTTCTCCTTTATATGATAATATGTGAAACTTCTCGCGGAGACAAAGATTACAAACTTTTGATGCTTGATTGTAGGGCTTACATTGTGCTATTATCTTCCATGTAATCACAGGATTTATATGTTTCGATTTTAGCTCCCATGTTTCTTTAGAAAGTTCAGTGTCATTTTTATATTTGGGTGCATTGAAAGATTTAAGATGGTTGGCATATCTTAATTTAAATGTGGTTTCACTTATACCGAAATAAACTTTATCTTTGCATTGAGGATCACCAGAACTTACAGTGACTTGGTATACGATATTGCTAAAAAGGCATTGGTTATTTAACGGACAAATATTTTTGTCTATGCAGTTACATTTTTTTGATGTTTTATTTTTATCGCTATGTAAAATTTTGTTATTATGCGTATTTATTAAAGACTTGACATTAGGCATGCAACTATAGCTTACTTTAACATAGTTTCGATTAAAAATTTTATGAAGCCTGTGTCCTACTGGAAAGTGTTGGTCAATTAAAGCTAAAACGCCATTTCCAATTTTAGTTTCAACATTTTTGCTAAATGAGGGGTTGTACCATATAATTTTACATTTGCGATGTCTTTTTTGATTTTTGTTTATTTGCGGTTGGTAGGTGAGTTTTGAATTGTATCTTGATTTTCGTAAAGCCTCTTCAT